GGAATTCTGAGAAAAAAGTCAGAATTCTGACTTTAATCTTAGAATTCTGAGATTAAAGTCGGAATTCTGAGATTAAAGTCAGAATTCTGAGATAAAAGTCAGAATTCTGAGATTAAAGTCGGAATTCTGAGATTAAAGTCAGAATTCTGAGAAAAAAGTCAGAATTCTGAGATTAAAGTCAGAATTCTGAGAATAAAGTCAGAATTCTTTTTTTTTTTCTTCCAGTGGCCCTAATCCTCTTCCGTACATGCAACAGACTGGAGACCTGTCCAAGGAGTACCCCGCGTCCCCGCGACAAAGACTCCAGTCAGGCCCACTAGAACGCCCTGAAAATGCATAGATTTGGAATTTTTCACTGTATTTTCACAAATTTTAAACCTTTCCTATTAATAAAGAACCCCCATTATTCATTTTATAACAGAAATTAAGTAAAAATTAAGTAACAGATAAAAAATTAAATGACAGACATTTCCTGTTTTTTCACTATCTACTGTATTAAATTGTGTTTGAAACAAGCTCTCATTCTTCAAACTGATTTGTGATTTTAAATGTTAAACTATTGTTTGATTAAACATCCAGTAATAATACAGAAAACATATATATTAATAAAGCACTCATCATATCAGGTCAGGACTCAAAGCAAAAAATAAAATTTTTATTCAGGTCAAGTGTTAAAAGGCCAAAGCTGAGTCAGTGGGTCAAAACTACGTCTTGGAGGTAATTTAGAAAACACAGAGGACACTATGTCAGTAAAGCAAATGCTAAGACAAAGACGGAGCAGTATATGCACAGACTGAGGGCTGACTGGGAATTGGAAACAGGAGAAGAAAATAGAAATCTGAAAATATATTAAACCTAAAAAGCCCAAAGTGACCTGAAATAACGTGGACGGAAACTTAAGAATAAAATACTGTGAAAAATCATGAGAGCGAACACGAACACATAAGTGCCTTTCATCTGTTTATCATTTGAAGCCATCTTTTCAAAACCTCCTCGGTCACTAAAATCCAGTTTGTTCAGTTTTTTTCCCGTTACTCCCAGTCAGCTCATTTCCTCGTCCGCCGGAGCAACATTTCCCTGAACTTTCGTAACTTCCTGTGATGCTTTGTAAATTGTAGATATAAACAAACTTTCATTTAATGTTGAATTCAAAATACTAGAAACAACAATATCGAGATCAGTGATTGGCCTGAGGGTTTCAACTTTGCCCTCAATGTTTCCTGTAGAGGTGAAGGAGGAACGTTTCCAGCTGCTGTAGATTGCTCAACATTTGATGTGTAAATGTTAATAGTTGTCAGGAAAGAGGAGGTTTATTTGTTCTCAGCTTTGTTTAGGGTGTTCCAGTCAGAGTGTGAAGTTGTTGCAAGTTAATTATTGAAGCCATATTACAATGTATCAGCAGATTTTCGACCTATGAGCTACAGCTTAAGACTTGTTTGAAGAGTTTAATGAGCCTGCAGAGTGGTAACAGAGATGATTTGGGGGATTTTCTTTTTTTCTTGACACAGACGTCGTGAAGACACCAGAGAGCTGAATAGCGAAGAAGCTAATGGGAAAAACGCAGAGTGAGTAGAACTTTGATTTATTTGAGCCTCCTAGGTTTTTCTCTCCATCACAAAGCAGCTGCTTTTATCTTTGTTTGTGAGCTTATGTGGTGAACATTTGAAGACTCTAATCTCTGAGGTGTTGAATTGGCTAAAGACTCCAAACCCCCAACAACGAAGTCTCCAACATTTGGCTCAGAGCCTTTCAAACAGAATGAGCAGGTAGAGATTTGTTCATCAGATCCTTTTAAACACAAAAAGCCTGACTGTGATGTTATGTTTACTAAGACTTAGGTGCTCTTGAAGTGCACCCTGAACGGTTTCATAATCAAACTATAAAACGGAAGTGCTGTTGCTCTGAGGCTGTTTTATTGTTGTTTTATGAAGGAACAAAGTGCATTACTGGAATGGGTGAGTTCTTCCTGCTGGGTTCCTGTAAGTATCATTGTTGGGATGGATTTATGGAGGATCTGTGGAATTCACAGCAGTTCAATTGTAGTTAATTCCTCACACCTGTGTAACCACAGTTAATGTTTAAATTTTGAGTTCAGTGTTATCGCTTCAGAAATCCAAATACATTTCTTCCTTCATCAATTATATTTAACCTTCTATTTCCAGATGTAATAAAATAGAAGCAGTAAACACTGAAATTGCAGCATGACTTTTCCTCAAACTCTTCAAAACACAGTCACCCTGCTTAAGTTCAATATTTGTATCCAAATCTGCACCAAGATAGAGTCGACGCAATAGATTTTTTCACTTAATGCTAATAATATTTCAAATGTCATGTGTGACAAGTGGAGAAGCACAGAGAGATTGTGACTACCAAAATAACCTAAAATAGAGTTAAGCACTTATCCTCTAACTAACCACCATCAGTGTGTTTTAATAGTAGTAATGATGCCAACACAAACTTGTCACTGATGTGTTCTGTTCAGCAATAAGCCAGTGGCAGGTGTAAGCTTATTAGTTCTTCTAAAAGTAAGTCTAGCAGTTTGGCAGCCATCCTGAAATACATCAGCTGATGGAAGCTTCTTCTGCGTCACACTGCCGTCTGACCGCCACATGAATGTTTTGTGTTTCCTCTGCAGGTGAAGGTAGAAGGTGTGTGTGAGCTGATGTGGATGTGAGTTCAGCAGCATGGATCAATGTGAGGACAGAGAGGAGGGAGTCCCTCCCTCTAAAACCACTCTGTGTGGGGAACATGAGAGCCAGACCAAAGCTCAGAGGTGAGATGACCATCTGTAACTGTCCTTTACTCTTCTCCATGTCACAGCTCAGCACTCACATCACTGCTCCATCATTATTCACAGGAACCAACCTGGACCTGAACCCAGCTGTGTGTCCTTAAAGAGTGACGGGTCAAAAAATCGCCTCATTTATTTTAAAGGACAAAAATCATCTGCAGAGAGGTGAGCTGTTAGTAATATGAACTTTTTGATAGTTATCATTTTGGTGCCTGTTGAAAGTAGGAACATGGGTAGTCCTGTAAAGGCCAAATTAAAGTGTTTACGTCTGGGTGAGACCATTCCCCTTCCCGATACGTAACATACCGATGATTTGTCATGTCCTGAGGTGTCACATAGGAACCGGAAGTGTAACCTTCCGCGCCCCTATGATGCGTGCCGGGTTGTGGATAGAATCCAATAGAATGACCCGGTGGTAACACACGTTCCAGACGTGTATTCCAGCCCTAACCCTAAACTTAATCCTAACCCTAACCATAACCTTATCCCTACTCTTAACCACAACCTTAATCATATTAGATAGTGTTTTCCAAAGCGATTCATAATGAGAAAGTAAAATAAATGTACATGTGTAGATTCAGTCGAAACAGTTCTCGTGCTTCCTCCTGTTTCTGAACAGGTAACATAGAGATGTGTTGGGTGGCCAAAAGCATAACATACCAATGATTTGTCACATTAAACATATTATGCTTTGGGATGAGAACGTTTGTCTGGGTGGTGCTCTGTTCTTACAGTGACTGTTTGGAGTTTCTTTATGCTGATTTACAGTCTGGAAAAACAAGGTTGTATTTGGGATAATGACGAGGTCTTCATCTGTTTTTGTTGCTGGAAATGAAAAAAAAAATTCTTCTCTGTCTAACAGGACCTATGGGAGACCTGAACTAAGCAGTGTATCTTTAAAGAGTGACGGGTCAAAAAATCGCCTCATTTATTTCAAAGGACAAAAATCATTTCCTGCAGAGAGGTGAGCTGTTAGTAACAATGATGCTGTTAGCTGTCAGTTTGGCATCTGATTTAAATGAATTGCTTTTTGTTGTTTCATGGCCCTAAACGGCATTT